CGTCATCGTTCTTTTCCAGCCGTCCTGGAAAAGAAAAAAGAAAATGTAAGTGCATGTCGAAATACACTCGTATGTGCGTAAAAGCACAATGTCGGCGGAAAAAAATGGAAAATAAACTCATGAACACGTAATAGCGTTAAAAAAATTGTTTTTTTGTTTTGTTTTTTTTTAAATAGAAATAAAAATATATAAGCATATTAAAATTGTTTTTTTTTAAAAAATAATATAAAATGTCGAGAAGTGCCTTACGTGCAATAGTCGTTTAGATGTTCTGGAAATCTCACCCTTCTTCCAGAACGCGTCGTTTTAAGTTTATTTTCGGATACTGTCGAAGTATCATCGTGTGTGTTGGTTGTCGGATGAGGTATTATAAGTGTCGGAGTCGTGTCGTTCGATTGTACCGAAGGAAAATCCACGTAGATAGGATTTCCTTCTAAATACGCTGCTTTTAAGCGATCGATACTGATGCTATCGTTGGTTCCGTTCTTATCGACTATATAGTACTTAGATTCACGTTGAAGAACTTTGAAGGGTCCTTCGTATGCTGATTCGAAGGGTCGTCGATGCGAGTCTCGACGAACGAAAACGTGTGTACTATATCGTAAGTCAGGTTGAACGAAAACATCAGTTGATTGAGGTCGAGTGGAAGCAGGTTTAACTGAACGCATTGCGTTTGTAAGCCTGTTCGTGTAGGAGGTTAGATCCATGTTCATTGAAGAGGATGAAGGATCCACGAATTCTCCTGGAAGTCGAAGTGTCGTACCATAAACGAGTTGAGACGCAGTGTATCCAATGTCAGCTTTCACTGCATTGCGGATACCTAGTAAGACGAGTGGAAGAGCGTCGGTCCACTGTGAAACGTTTGCAGCTGATAGCGAAGCTTTCAGTTGTCGGTGAAAACGTTCTACCAACCCGTTTGCTTGTGGATGGTAGGCGGTCGTTCGGAAGCGAGTGATTCCTAAAAGCGTGGTCAGACGACGGAAAAGATCGGATTCAAACTGACGTCCGCGGTCTGTAGTGATGGTTGAAGGGCAACCGAAGTTTGCTACCCATCGTTCGACGAAGGTGCGGGCCACTGTTTCAGCAGTGATGTCCTTGATAGGTACTGCTTCTGGCCATCGAGTGAAACGGTCTACGCAGGTTAAGAGATAAGAGTATCCATTTGAATCCGGTAAAGGTCCTACCAAATCCAGATGAACATGGTCGAAACGAGCATCGGGAGTTTTAAACGAGCCTAAGGGACATTTATTGTGTCTGATAACCTTAGATTTTTGGCAGCTTACACAGGAGCGTGCCCACTCCCTCACGTCTTTATTCATTCCAGGCCAGCAAAACCTTTCTGCTATAAGCTTGATGGTTGCACGAACACCTGGATGCGAAAGTTTGTGCAATGTATTGAAGACATTGCGTCGATAATGTTTCGGCACGATTGGGCGATCCCTACCTGTAGATGTGTCACAAAGTAAGGTTTCCTTACCTGTTCCCATCTGTTTGATGCGTAGTTTAAGTGTTGTGGACGATAACTCGTGCTGAAGATCACTGTCTTCTTTTTGAAGCTCGGCGAGTTTAAGAAGGTCGATTCCTTGGAAACTGTTCAAGGAAGTTATACGAGATAAAGCGTCTGCAACTACATTGTTTGCTCCAGAGATGTGTTGAATATCTGAAGTAAACTGCGAAATGTAGTCCAGTTGTCGAGACTCACGGGGAGAGTACTTGTCTGAAGGAGAGCTTAACGAGAAAGTGAGCGGTTTATGGTCCGTGAAAAGAGTGAATTCACGACCTTCGATGTAGTGTTGGAAATGCCGTACAGCACAATACATAGCTAGGAGTTCCCTACCGAATGTGCTGTACCTCGATTCGGTGTCTAGCAACCTTCTAGAGAAAAATGCCAAGGGTTGCCAGGAGTTGTTAACCCATTGTTGTAAGACTCCTCCGATTGCCGAGTCGGATGCGTCTACTGCGATGCTAATGGGTGCTCGGGTGTCCTGATGTGCGAGCATCGTTGCTTTAGCAATCAGTTCCTTAACTGTGGAGAATGCTTTTCGTGCGGTGTCGTCCAAATTAATGGATTTCGCATTTCCACGAAGTTGGTCGGTCAGAGGTTTCATAAGTAATGCGCATTTCGGTATGAAACGTCTATAGAAACTTACCAGGCCGTTAAACGTGCGTAATTGCTTGACGGTGGTCGGTTCTGGGTAATCCAGAATGGCCGCCACTTTGGTCCTAAGAGGTCGAATGCCTTGAGCATCGATAGTGTGTCCTAGGAAGTCTAACGAGTCGGTTCCGAATTGGCATTTCTGAACGTTTACAGTTATGCCATGTTTTTGAAGTCGTTCGAAAACAAGATCCAGATGCTTGAGATGTGTTTCTCTGTCCGGACTTGCGATTAGACAGTCGTCAACATACGCGTGTACGAAGTTGAGACCTCGAAAAACGTCGTCTATGAATCTTTGGAATGTTTGAGCAGCATTCCTTAGACCGAAAGGCATTCGCAAAAATTCATAGAGTCCGAAAGGAGTTATGATAGCTGTTTTCGGTATGTCGCCAGTAGCCATAGGGATTTGGTTATACGCTTTAACCAAGTCGATTTTCGAAAAGACAGTTGTACCTTTCAAGGTAGCTGTCAAATCGTGAATGTGAGGCAACGGGTAACGATCGGGAATGGTTTTCGCGTTCAATCGCCGATAGTCACCAGTTGGACGCCAATCGTTGCTGTCCTTTTTAGGGACCATGTGCAACGGAGATGCATATGGGCTACTTGACGGTCGTATGATTCCTAAGTCCATCATGTGATCGAATTCGTTTTTCGCTAACCTTAGCTTTTCAGGAGCTAGTCGTCGTGCTTTAGAGAATACAGGTGGTCCTGTAGTCGTGATGTGATGTGTAACATTGCTGGTTACACACGGTAGTTTCGGTTGAGTTTGTTGTATCCCAGGGTACTTATCGAGTAGTGGTTGATAGAGTGGGTCTATCCTATGTTTAACTGTGACTGGGGATACTCTACAACCAGTAAAGGATGTTACGCAAACGGACAAATTAGTGTTTCCGTCTACTAGCCTCCGTTTGCGAGTGTCGATGATCAGATTGTGGTGTTGTAGAAGGTCCATACCAATGATTGGCATAGAAACATCTGCAACAACGAAAATCCAGTGGATGGGTTTGCGTAAACCCACGTTGAGGTAAACGTACCTTTTGCCATACGTAGCGATAGGTTTTCCGTTTGCCGCCTGTAAGTTAAAAGCCGATTCCTGAAGCCGGTCGTTAGGATTTGCTGGGAGAACGCTAACTTCTGCGCCAGTGTCGACGAGGTAGCGAACTCTCGTTGTCACATCTGTGACGAATAACAGACGGCTATGTTCGCCGGCTACGGTTGCCGTTAACGCGTGCCGGCTTGGAAGTTTCCCGAATTGCTTTTCGAATCAGTCGGTTTCGTGTTGGGAAAATTGCAGGGTTTTCTGCAATTTCTGGAAAACTTTCCATACTGGTTATGATACCAGCACCAGTCGGGGTTATCTGTCTCTCGTGGTCTAGAGACAGATCGCTTACGAGAAATGCTTCTACGTGGTGTCCGCGATCTCTTACGGTCGGTACGAAGACTAAGATAACGCGTGAGTGTGTGACATAAGTCGGTTAAATCATTCTGAGTCGTGTGAGGCTTTTCTTTGACTGAAAATACCTCGGTTGTAGGTTTCGTAATTTCTAGAATGCGGTCGGCAGATGCAGCTAGTTCGTCTAAGGCGTTGTTCTGGAACGAGACCAGAACTGCTTGCACCTGTTGGGGAAGTTTTGACAAGAAGAGTTGTTTGAATAGGCCTTCGTCGAAAGTTCTTGGGCCTATTACCTCTCTCATCCGTTGCAACATGTCCGTCGCAGAACCGTGTTGCAGGTCGATATTGTTGAAGAGTTGATCTAACCTTTGTCGATCGGTTAGGTCTCCTCGTTTAAGAATCGAGCGTTTTAAGATTTCGTAAGGATCGGAAACATCACTAGTAAACATACTAGGTGTTACGTACCTGTTGAATTCGCGCGGTAGTGCCTTGACTACTGCGAGGAATTGTGCACGTGTGTCGATCACGCCGTGCTCGGAGAAGTCGGCTTCTGCGTAGCAAAACCAGGCTTCGATGTTGTCGGGCCAGAAAGGCATCAGTTGAAACGAAGGCGGGGACAAAGTCTTAAGCTTGAGTACTTTAGGTGTCTGTTCAGTCATGATGAAGTATGAAGTACGATAATGAACGAGGGGAAAATATATATCCAGGAAAAAAACACGAAAAAAAATCACAATGTTTAAAAAAGTTAAAAAAATAAGGCAATGATATATAAAAATCCCAAAAAGGAACAGACTCACAGTTGCAATTAGGTGTACCAGATCACGTCGGTTTCACCAATGTTGATGTCACAGGTATTCAGTGTTTGACAACGCTTCTACCAGTAACACCTTCTAATATATTTCGTTCCCGCCCAGAGAAATCAAAAGACAGAGTCGAGGAGATCGGAAGAGTATATTTGGCGATGACCAATATATCGGAATTCTCTGATCTAATCTGGCTAGCGATTGCGGTTGATGTTGAGCACGGCGTTACCACACGTGATCTGGTGCGGATGACTGACCGAGCGCCTTCAGCTAGGTGAGTCCACTAAAACATATGGTCAGCATCCAATGTCGAAAACTTAGTGCTATTTATTTTGGGGATTTATTTACCGCTACACACCAAAACGCGGTGACAGCTGGAAAATGAAAACATCCAAAATACTCGACAATGCTTAACATCCGATCGGAAATCTGTTGGTTTTTCTATTTTCATGCCTTACTACATCACTTCGTAGTGGCAAGACAAGCATATAACCCGCCGACTGAAGGCAAATCGTTTGTGTCAAGGTCAAGCCGGGCGGTGTGTTTAAGTTTTCTACGTTTCATGTGGTGATGCTGCGCTGTCTGTTAGTTTCTGGATGTTCTTCGAAACTGCAAGAGTCATCGCGTTAATATACTGCTTGGCATACGCATGAGCGATTCTCCTGCACCAAATGAACCTTCAGATGTTAATAAGGTAATATTTGTTTTCACTTTTTCTAGCGTACTGCAGTTTTTGCAAATTTCCCCGTCTAAATGTCTACCTAAGAAAACATAGAAACTTTTTTTACGTTATTCTCTTGTAATTTGTTCATCTTGCGTCCTTCGTCCTTTCGAATATGTCACGCCAAATATTCACTTTCCTGAATAGTATGTTAAATGGGAATGATTAGATTTGCGTTGTTTTTTTGTTCAAGTACCTAATTGACGCACAGTTTATCGATCAGTAGCCAACGCAAGAAAAGCAAGCATCTAAATGTTTAAGCTCACGGTAGTTTTGTGTGAGGGCTTCTGTTCAGCTATATTTAATTGATTTCAACTGTGCAGCATCCAGAACTTCGTCTTTTATGTCCTACTCGCTGTCTTCTCGCAACGAGGGGTGTTGTTTACATTGTTTAGAGAACGAAAAGCGGGTGTCCGACGCTTTAATTTGTTTGGTGGATATGCAGAACCCACTTATGGGAGTTGGAAAACCCTGATTATCAACCGGTGGTGCACATAGACTCCAAGATCCTTAGGGAACAAATGGCGTATGAATCTATTGTTGGTCACTGGCTACCATGTGGACTGCATCGCCTAACGTTGCCCCACTGCCTTGTCGATTAAACCTGTAGATGTGTATTGTAAAACTAAAAATATAAGTTTTAATGAAGGGAGGTTTTGTGTGTATTGTAATTTAGTTGACTTGGTGGATTGAAATTCATGAGTCTTTTCTAAGTGTTGTATATCATGAAACGTGTACCTGGTTTGCCAACGTGGTCACATACGTTATTCTAATATTTGCTGTTACCATTCCTGGGATCAAATAAAATCTAAGGTTGGAAACTGGAGAAACCTCGATTGCATGTATGTACTACTCTATGGATCCCTAGAAATTAGAAACGACGTCACAAATTTCTCGCTCACATTATGCACATTGTTACTTATATTTTCAGCTAACCCTCGCTATTTATTTTGTAAACATACTGCTTTAAATTGTTTATGTCAGCAGACGCAACGTTAGTTTTTTCCTAGGTTACAACTCTTAATATCATGAAAATATTACCAACTTAAAACCTATTTTCCATCCCTTACGTATCTACTTGCTAAACTGTTAAATTGACGTTTGGCTTTTCTAGCCTATGGCCACTTGCAAACTAACGTTTGGTTGTTATTCACATTTATCGTAAGAATAAACTGTACCAAATCACTGCTCGTATATTGAGCTTCAGTTCCGCAAGTGAAACGCCCGAATCTTCCAAAAGCACATCATTTTGGATACATGAAGTGGATACAATATAAACTACCCAAATATTTCAAGGTGAAAGAGATGTAAAGTAATGCATCCGAACTACTTAAGTCCGTGACCCGAGACCCTCATCCACTAACCTCCATCTAAGATATATGTTATCAAACTACCAGGACAATTGTAGACTTTAGTGTTAGCAACTATCAGTGGCTTTGTATATTGCTATTATTTTCAAGGGTTTGAGTCTAATGCCGTAAATGTTTAGGAATTAGGGCTGGTGATTTAAGTAGTGTTAAGTCCTTTAAAGCATTTTAATATTGTGGAATAAATTGTGCAGTTTCTAACGATTGCTTTCTTCCATTTGTCTTTTTAAAATGGCCTTAAATTAATATTAATATTAGCATCTAAGTTGGTCGATATTAAGTGTGGGAAGAAAAATTCTAGCTTTATTGCTACTTTCACTTAGTTGACTCAATGAATAAACCTTCTAATTATTATGCTTAGATTTCCAGCCATCAGCTTGTTACCAAACCAGATGTATCGACCTATTTATATTTGCTTGGAAATAGTTAACGTTAACTATACACATCTTTATCATACTGTTTCATCATTCCGACCTCTTTTAAACAATGTGTTCGTTTTCCAAGTCGTAATATTTATCACTTACCGATATTTTTTCAGACAGAACTATTTAATTTGGATAATCTTAGTTATCGAGATGAAGGAAATAATACAATCGTAGTATCCAATACAAAGGTTTGTGAAACTTTCTAAATAAATCACTTTTACAGACTAGTTTGATATTGCGCATTCGGAAAACCAATGTTGGACGAAATGTAAGTAATACTGTCATGTGATTTGTTACTAAGGGTTTTACTTTAGGGATATTGGTCTAAAGCTCACACCAAACGATCTGAGATATTTGCGAATCAGCGTATACTTCTTCAGTTCGGTTCGCAATTTCTTCGCAGCATAGTAAGTTCCCAAAGAATTTATTAGTCACTAAATATAGAGTTCTGTTTTATTTGGGTTTTTATTATTATTATCAGCTTTATTGAGTATTATATTTTTGGTACAATATAGAATCCTCAACAGAGTATTTCAACGTGACGTTTTTTTGTTTCTTCATCGATATTGATGATAAACACTGAGTTATTGCCAGTTAGATATTAGCATTTCAGAAATTGACATTCCTTTCAATGCACATTGCCAGTCATGAGGATGTCTTCAATTGTAAATTTTTGTAACTTGTACAGCGAAAGGTCGTAAACTTTTCACAAACGCACCTGAATAGGTCATGTAATTAATTCACATAATAATCTGTTAAAACAAACAAGGAAACAGATAACTTCTCGAAATATCTAGATGGCAAAGACAGGTAGCCCAGATATTCAAGCAGGCCGCCTAGGTATTCACTAACCATTGCTTTGTGTTCAAAGCGAATGTGTCCTACTATTTTTAAACTCAGTGGATCTTTTAAAGTTCTAAAGTCATAACTATGGTTATAATCATCCGCGCAACATATTGTTAGCAGCAATTTTTCACATATGAGGTAATAATACCATGGATACTACGATACAAGTAGACTGCGTGTCAGTCTGTAAATTCACTGTTTGGGTGAAATGAATCCATCCGTTTATACTAGTCGGTCGATAAAAAAACCAAATAAAACAATTTAATCTGTTGTACATAGCACATTTGGCTGATCGATCATTATCAAGCCGGTTTTTTTTTCAGCGCATCACCCTGCAGTCAGTAGGACCTGGTTTAAATGATTAATTGGTTATTCTCATGCAGTATAAAACTTATGAAATTTTTTAGGTAATCAAACATACTAATTGAATTCTATTATTTTACATATAATGAGGATTTTTTGGAAATAACTAGTTCACTTATCACGTTTGACATTTTATGCGTTAGTACTTTCCAGATAGGCAAAACGGTTTCCACCACATGACCTTTGTTTGAAATTGAATAATCATGTGCTTTAAAACCGATTTCGACTATTGATAGTGAGAGGGTGGAGAAGATTTGTAGCTCAGGTGGATGATTTTGGTGGAGTTTTGTTCTCTGAGCTGGATGGTTTGGTCGTGGGGCTTTCATCGTTCTTCTGAACGACATCATCAGCACAAACTTCAGATAGAAGTGAAGTGTTCGAATTTCTCCATATGTGTTTCACAGCTTGTTCTGTGCACCTCGATGTTGATTGGTTCTTGTTGACCTTAAATTTATCATTGTTTACTTCTTTGTTTTGGTTGTGTCTCCCATTGGTTTGATTTTTGTTCCTATATTTATGCATGATTTTCCTGATTGGTTGATAAATTGGATTGATTTCAATATGTTTGTTGATTGCTGATTGACCTGAGTGCCAAGCTTCTAAAAATTCTCTGGTGTTTTTGGAGTTTCCTCTGTCTAAGATTTCTACATTTTCCCAATCGAATGAATGTCCGTAGTTATCCACGTGTATTGATATAAGTGAAGAGATATCATGGCGTTTGACTGCTAATTGATGTTCATGTAGGCGTAGGTGGAGGGGGCGTCCGCTTTGTCCGATGTAGTGTTTGTCGCAGTTGGTACAATTTATTTTGTAGATGATGTTTGATTTGTTTTCCTTTGTTATTTCACCTTTTGGTTTGCATAGGATTGATTGTAATGATTTTGTTGGTTTGTGTGCTACACCTATCCCGAAGGTTTTCAGCAGTCTCGTTGCGGTTTCTGATATTCCTTGTATGTACGGTAGGGTGATCTTTTTGTTGATTTTTGTGCTTGATTTGGGTTCTGATGCTGTGTGCCGTTGGTGCACCAAAAGATGAAATAACAAAGGAAAACAAATCAAACATCATCTACAAAATAAATTGTACCAACTGCGACAAACACTACATCGGACAAAGCGGACGCCCCCTCCACCTACGCCTACATGAACATCAATTAGCAGTCAAACGCCATGATATCTCTTCACTTATATCAATACACGTGGATAACTACGGACATTCATTCGATTGGGAAAATGTAGAAATCTTAGACAGAGGAAACTCCAAAAACACCAGAGAATTTTTAGAAGCTTGGCACTCAGGTCAATCAGCAATCAACAAACATATTGAAATCAATCCAATTTATCAACCAATCAGGAAAATCATGCATAAATATAGGAACAAAAATCAAACCAATGGGAGACACAACCAAAACAAAGGAGTAAACAATGATAAATTTAAGGTCAACAAGAACCAATCAACATCGAGGTGCACAGAACAAGCTGTGAAACACATATGGAGAAATTCGAACACTTCACTTCTATCTGAAGTTTGTGCTGATGATGTCGTTCAGAAGAACGATGAAAGCCCCACGACCAAACCATCCAGCTCAGAGAACAAAACTCCACCAAAAACTTGATAGTCCTTGCACTAACTAGCAGTCAGTAACAAAACTTTAGTTTGTGCTAATTGATAATTTCACCAATATAATTTCCTATTTTTAAGGAAGATGTGTTTTTTGAGGAGTGGCTATTGTTCATTTATTTTATACATTCACTTGTGTTTTGGATAGTTTTCACTTACTGATCTGCTGAAATACTTATTATTTTATTCACGAGCGTAACAACTTATAAGGTTAGCATCGTATTACTGATTTGACTTTACGTTTAAGAAGATAGTTCTGAGTTTTTATGAACAGTCTTAACTGTTAAAATGATTAACAGAATGCTGGCCGGTAGGTTATGCACATTTATACAATATAGCTGATTAATAGCGGCTTATTATGCCGGATTATTGTCTCAAGCTTCTGAATGGACTGATGTAAAAAGTCAACAGTGATCTGAGGCACAGGTATTTCTTTTAACGAAATTATCTGGTTGTACATGGAGTGTTAAACACAAAAGTGGACATGCTTGAACCCAACCGAAGCTGCTACCTTGACGCGGTGGTCGGGCTTGCCTATCGTGATGACCCAACCGAGCTATATTGGCTGGAACATATGTTCCTGTAGGTTTTACCATGCCAGGCAGGTCGATTGGAGAACGGTAAGACTAAAAGCAGCAACTCAAGGTCTGAGGGAAAAGTCGTACTGCTGACTGTAGAGAGGTGTGACAGCAGTAAGGTGTTTCCCTCAGACAACCAGCATCTGCAGCGATGCTGCCTTCCCACAAGGAGGGGTGGTATTAGAAAAGGTTCACCCCAGAAATGTCACACCTTACCTTACCTCGCAGATTTCCGTCTCCGGCGGTAAGGCCCTTTGAAGAACGGAGCTAACACATTAAAAACCTTCCACGAAAAGGCCGTGCGTAACCGGCCTCAAGCAGTTGTCCCTTGGGCTCTGCAGTCACGCTTCCAGGTCTTTAAGACCAACACTAATCCAATTTCCTTTTCAGGTTCCTCAAGAAATACCCTTCCACAGTGTGGGTAGCCGGGAAGTGACACCAGCCCTCATACCCGTAACAGCACACGAGACCAAGTCGGTCACATTCAAACTTGGACATTTGAAACAGGTGATTGAAAGTTTTCGGTTTTGTATGCCACTTAAGAGCGAATGAAGTTACAACGTGGCCCCTTGCTATTATATATATATATATATATATATATATATATATATATATATATAACTTTTAGTCCTAATGTGTTATATTCACTACACTTCTTCCTTATTCCTAATAACATCATTATGGTTTGAATTTGCATTTTAGCATCTCATCAAAACAAGTCCCACGTTTCTTCGTGAACTAGAAAAATCAATCGAACCTTTTAGACCCGGTAAATGGTTCTTCATAGTCTTTTTCCTTATTATTGTACAAATGATATTCTATGATGTATTTAAATTTGAATGAAAACATTAAACCTTTAACATTGCTTTTTTAACGATCAGATGTTCTCTCGAGGATGACTTTTTCCATTGAATGTACTAACTGGATTATTTTCCCAATGAATAGACTGATATTTTCCAGATTACAAAGTGCTTTCGGAAACTTATTGTTTATATATCGCGATTATAGCTGTACCGCTCAACTCTTCAGGAAAAGTCTTCGAAGTCATAAGCTTCTTCGTGTTTAATGAGTTCAGACAGCCATCTTTTACAAATATCGCTAAATGAATAAGTTATCGTAAGTCTGTCTTGCTATGCTATACGCTTGTGATACTTAGTATGATTGTCAGTTTGTTTGTGAGGCGAATTTTAATGTCAAACGGGACTTGAAATTTAGTATTATAAACCAGGATTAATTCCTTCCTTACCTGCCTGATGGGCGTAATTAAACCAATTTCCAATAAATTGGGAGAAAGTGCAGAAAGATCATTGACAATGAACCTATCTAAATCGACCCAGACAACGCTCTCGTGAATCCAGAAGATGACTTGTTTTATTTAAGATACATTTCTATCACCTCTCAAAACAGTTCTCCTCATATCTGGGTATCAAATGAAGAACTGAGAAATCCTATCTTTAATCAAGATTTATTTCAAAAATATATGCTAATAAGAGACTGATCAATTGCAGTCCTGAACATCAATTAGAAAATTCAAACAAACGATACAAAAATGCATCAAGGATTTATTTCATTTGAAACAAATAGAAATTGTTTCTCATCCCAGGTGCAGTTGCGAGAACTGTAAACAGAGATGATAAAACGACGTTGTTTCTCTGACAACTCCCTAATTTTTCTGACGTAATCATCATAAACAGTTATAAAAAATTAACCAAGTAGGACTATATTTCCCTTGGTACATGATATTACCCCAACATCAACCTGGACTAACACGGATGATACATGTTCTGTGGCTCGAAAAATTAAGTTTTTAACCCTACTTCACGAGTTCTCTGAATGCAGAACTGCATAATACAACAAGCTAAGAGCTGAGTTTTTCCATTGTTGCAACCAAAACTGCCTCTTTTCCGAAAGGTATATTACATTATTGAGAGCCAAAATAAAATTCATCTAACCTGCAGAATATTAATTTACAGGAAACTTTTAATCGCAATACTATGTATGTTTGCCCGTAGTTTCTGTACACAACGCTAAACTGCGTATATTATGTGTGAATATGGTCTCCATTGTGTGAAAAATCAGTAAATGGAGAGGAATTCCAAAATCGCTTTCAGCAGTGAGGGTGTAGTGACTGTACTTTATTTCAAAAATCCAAATCCTTATATCCTTGATGTCTCCTCAAATATCCTCCTTTACATTTCTTTTTTCACTACAGCCTACCGTAAAGTCAAAGGAGTGGACCTTTCTGAAAATTTCGTTTTTGTCACATCAGATGCTACACAGATGCCATCACATCTTGTAAAATATGCATTCGGTCCAACTTTAAGCGTAGAAATCAAGGTAATAATCATATTCTTCTAATCCTAATATATTTTAGTTATTAAGGAGTTGGTTATCAAGTTGGCAGTTTAATTATGAAACATATTGCTTTTAATTAAACAAGAGAAAAGGTTCAGGATATCAGTTGTTCAGGTTATATTAGAGTTTTCAAGCAAATTCTATGCAAAAGATTGCTTTGATAAAGTTAAATTAGTTCCTGTGAACGTTCCTATTGGAAAAGTATGCTTAGCCACCGCGTTATCTGACAATTTTCATTTAATTGACTACGAATAATTTCCATAATTATTGTGTGCACTAGCTACGTATCATGGAGCATTATTTTCAAAACAAACTCGAACTACTGGTTGCGGTAATCTGCCAAAGCTTCGATAATATTAGTCATCGATGTCCTCATGTGAATCTACATGGAAGCTTATCTCCAAGATATATATTAGCACTTGTTAGTGAAAAAGAAATGAAAAATTGTCGTTTTGACTTCATGCGGCTGATATCTTTATAGTCACCAGTGCTATGGCCAATGTCCTCTCTTTTGTGCTTTACTGATGCCATTATTTAAATTACTGTATCACTTAATTTATTTACAACTTTAAAATCATATCGGTAATGGCAGATCTAGTAGCTGTTGTAATACGACTGCTCTGGAATTCATTAGTGTATAATCATTTCTGTCTACATATTCTTTCAACTAAAACACCAAATACATAAAGTATCTCAACCGCTTTTGGTAAAATATTTAGTTAGCTACTGAAATATGAGGCGTAAAAATGTTCGTAGCGCTGATTAGGAACTACTCAGTTTCATACATTTTAATCCTTAAATAACCACCGAATACGTTTTAGAAAACTGAACTAACAGCAAGCCAACTAAGCATGTAAACATATCGTACAGAATTTAAGCCATTGAAATGTAAAATATGTGACCGAAATCAGTTGACCGTGTTACTAACAATTACTAATTGATTGATCAAAAATAAAAGTATAAACGTTACAAAACAACTAGTGTTCATTACTTTGCTTGTTTTCTAAACTCATATTCAGTTGATAAATTTTCATATTTCTGTTCATAGTTCACTGGTCTCTAAGCCCATACTAACTTTAAACAAATATTTATATTCAGAGAACTGCATATGCCATGTGGATTTGATATTTTTCCTTTTGCAGCCAAAGTTTGGTGCTATCCCAATATGGCCTGCTACTGGAGTCGTCAATCTAGTTAAAAACTCGGCTTCACTGTTCTGTTTAAGGCAAGAACATTCTGTGAGTTTTCATAAATTTCGATCGTTGTAGATGTTTGTTGTTTTCCCTTCCCTTCAACGTTTTCCTTCAGGTTCCTCTGTTTAATTCGCATATATTATATATATCCTACGTTAGCATATATTTCATCCTTTGTCACAAGAGATCATGTCTATTGCCTTGTTTTTTACTTTATTTCTAGTTTGTCATAAATTCTTGTTCTTTCATTTTATTACCATGGACACAGTCTTGTATGGACTGGGTATTTTGAACAGACAAATATTTTCCCTTAGTCGTATATACATTTATCCTAGATGTTTAAGTTATCTTTCGCTTGAGAACCATGGACAGTAATTGGCTCATTGTTTGTTGAAGGCCATCAACTCAATCCTTATCTGTTACACTATTAAACGTAATGCTGTTGTATTCAGAAAATGTTGTACCACGTTTCCTTAACGTCAGTTGCTAGCTGACTACTTCAATTCCAGATTGATTGCATTATAAATCTGACTTTCTAATGTCGATTGTTTCGCTAATAATTAACAAGATGTAACAAATTATAGAATCAGCTTTGATGATTTGTTTATTGATAATTAATTTCAAATACTTGCTTTCACTTGTGTTATACATTCGTAATCCTCAATATTTTAAAAAGGAGTGAATAATTATTGAGGATGCATGTTAAGCACTAGCAGGAGTCATGTCAACTTGTATTAGTTTGGTATTGTAGATATTTTCGAAAATTGATTAATAGTTTCTCGATGTTTCGAAATAAACTAGACGATTGAAGTGTTTACCGCATTAACATATACCTGAATTTTCCAGCACAAGAGCGATTTTATTTATTAAAGTATATTTTATACTGTACAAAAATAAATGTTTAGATTTTTGATGTTGTATTAGCAGTTTTTTAAGTTGCTACTTTGTTTATTTTCAGAGTAAACGATCACGTTGGAAAGATCTGTCAACATATTGTCCTTGTGACCTATTTTCTGGGTTAGTGTTTACATATACTTTATACTTGTTCTGACCTCATTTTCTAACGAATAATCATTCTATACTTGTATATTTAGCATCAACTATTATTCCACCCGTAATGTACATCTGCCTAATCGTATAAATTACAAGAAATTTCTTATAATTTAATTCTAATTCCAAGTTAATAAATTTACCTCGTTAACCATATCAGGATTTAACCTAACCAATGTTTGTAAGTAGTTTTTCATATATATTTAAGCATTCCTTGTGACAATCAATAAGCTGTGATTTTGGGCCGCTTATACTTTTAATCACTCTGATTTTGTCGGAGATATATTTTAAGAGCTATACCTTGGTGAAATCGTGACCATTAATCCTACCAAAATAAAGTAAAAAACCATCACAAATCCCCTGAAATGGTCAGTGTGTTTATTCTCAACTTTTGAAAACAAATTTTAACTCCAAAATAACTGTATCCCTGAGACATTGTGTCTTCAAAGTAAGATTAATTATCCAATTGTTAGCGGGACATAGACCGGATTAAAGCATGCTCAATGCATGATTGCTTTGGTGCACGCTGATTGGCTAATTCTTAACCAATCAGCACTAGTCGATAGTTGGAGAACACTCTAGAATCTTCTCATGTAGGATACTATAAATATACTGACGTTTTTCTCTATTGTGCTTCTGACTTCCATCTAACCTTGTTATTTGGAATATAATCTCTTCCTGTTCAACCGTGTTTTGATTTGGGGACTTGTCGAGTGAATCGGTGTCCGAGAATACTAAGCAATAGGAATAGCCGGGTCATAACCGTAAGAAAAGCGATATATAACAGTGGCGACGGGGAAAAAGGAAAACAAATTCAAGATGCCTATATCAGATGACCAGCTTAACCGAATACTACAACAACAGCAAGCACAACTTGATGCACAAATGCGGTTGTTGGAGACTCTGACTCGACAGTTCAACATCCACAGTTCGAGTTCACACGCTATTTCAAGTTCGTCTTGTGATGCAGTTGCTAGCAGCATCCCAGAATTCGTCTATGATCCCGAAAATGGAAATACTTTTCTCACGTGGTTCAGACGTTGGGAAGATACATTTAGAACAGAATTCTGTAATCAAGACGATGCGTGGAAGACCCGATTGTTGGTACGTAAGTTGGGAAGCAACGAACATGCACGTTTTGCTGACCATATTTTGCCAAAGTTACCTCGAGAGCTCAGTTTCGAGGAGACGGTATTTCAGCTGTCAGAGATATTCGGCGAGTCATCCTCGTTGTTTAGTATTCGATATCGGTGTCTAAATTTGGTGAAACGCGAAGCTGATGAATATGGTGTTTTAGCAGACATTGTCAACAGAGAATGTGAACGTTTCAAGTTGCGCTCGTTGACTGATGACCAATTTAAATGCTTAATATTCATCAAAGCTCTTCAGTCACCACAAGACGCTGAGATCAGGACTAGACTTTTGGCTCGACTGGACCAAGATCCAAACGTCACACTCAGAACATTGACAGATGAGTGTAAGCGTCTACAAAGCATCAGACACGACAACGAGTTGATTGAACAGGTAAATCCTAATTTAACCTGCGGTAGTGTAAATACTATTACTAGGTTAAAAGTTCAGAAGCCGGTAACAACTCGTAACAAACCAAGGACTGCATGCTGGTTATGCGGTGATTGGCATTATGCACGATTCTGTCCGTTCAAGAAGCATAAATGTCAGGAGTGCAACAAACGTGGACATAAAGAAGGTCATTGTCCACCGAAGCGTACGTCTCAGCCTAAGAAGAAGCATAAACGTCCTCGACATGGGAAATCAGCCGAGTCCAAATCTTTTTCTTTGGTAGCTGCCTTTCAAACAAACTATGACATTCAGAGAAAGTATGTTACTATCCAGATAAACGGCATATCAGCTCGTCTTCAAATTGACACGGCATCAGATATCACGTTAGTGTCTAGAGAAACATATAACTTGCTGGGTAAACCGCCAATGAAGCCATCTAAGAAAACGGCTAAAAACGCATCAGGTGGTGTGCTAAAACTGGTTGGTGAATTACAGTGTGAATTTTCCTTCAATGGAACTAACTGTACAGGAATATGTTACCTAACAGAACGGCCGAACCTTGATCTTCTTGGTCTAGATATGTTAGACAAACTTGGAATAATGGATGTACCAATTAACAGTGTCTGTAACGTATCGTGTTCATCATTGAACAGCTCAGTACTTCCAAAGAAGACAGGTGAAAGGTTACTAGAAAAACTGAAAAGAAAGTTTGCCTCTGTTTTTCAGAATAGCCTTGGCCACTGTACCAAGATGAAAGCGCATTTACCAGTAAAACCAGATGCCATACCTATTTTTCGCCCGAGACGTCCTGTACCATATGCTGCTCTTGAGCTAGTCGACCAGGAACTTAATCGCTTGCAACAGGCTGGTGTAATCCGACCAGTTAACTACTCTGCATGGGCCGCACCGATCGTAGTGATTAAGAAGGCCAATGGGACTATACGCATATGTGCCGATTTCTCGACCGGTTTAAATGCTGCATTAGATGTATATCAATATCCATTACCAGTTCCTGAAGACCTGTTTGCCAAGCTTAATGGTGGGACATGCTTCGCGAAAATAGACTTCTCTGATGCTTATCTCCAAGTGGAAGTAGATGAAGATAGTAGAGAGCTTCTGACTATTAACACTCATCGAGGGTTATTTCAATACACTCGTCTACCATTTGGCATCAAGACCGCACCCGCCATCTTTCAGCAAATAATGGATACGATGCTAACAGGTATACCTGGTACAGCAGCTTACCTAGATGATATCATAGTTATGGGTTCAACTGATAGTGAACTTTCTGATCGACTACACCAAGTCCTTAACCGAGTGTTGGAGTATGGTTTCCAACTACGTGAGGAAAAATGTATCTTTTTCATGCATTCGATCAAATACCTTGGTTTTATCTTAGATAAGAACGGTCGCCGACCAGATCCTGCCAACATCGAAGCCATTCAGAAGATGCCTGCACCAACTGATGTTTCTTCATTAAGATCCTTCTTGGGGTTAATCAGTCATTACAGCACATTCTTGCCTGAAATGCATCGAGTGAGAGGTCCCCTAAATGAATTACTATCGAAAGATAAACCTTGGCAGTGGTCAGCAGAATGTCAAGCATCTTTTGACAGAGTCAAATCAATGCTCAGCTCAAAGATTCTTTTGACGCACTTCGATCCCAGCTTGGAAATTGTTGTTGCATCTGATGCCTCAAGTCATGGAGTTGGAGCAGTGATATCTCACGTGTTTCCGGATAAATCAGAAAAGACAATTGCCCATGCTGCTAGATCACTTACTCCAGCCGAGCGAAACTACAGCCAAATTGAAAAGGAAGCTCTTGCAATCATTTTCGCAGTCAAAAGATTTCATAAAATGCTCTATGGTCGTACATTTACTCTACTGACAGATCACAAACCTTTGATTGCAATCTTTGGTTCTAAGAAAGGAATCCCTGTCTATACGGCTAATAGACTACAGCGCTGGGCAACAATGCTCCTGAGTTATGATTTTAATATCAAGTATCAGTCGACAAATACTATCGGTCAAGCTGACGCTCTCTCCCGATTAATTGGAGTTCAACATCCTGGACCAGAGGATATAATCATCGCCTCCACAACAGTAGATCCAGAAATACGAAGTATAGTGGCAGATGCCATTCGAAACACTCCAGTGTCGTCAGATGAAGTCAGGGAAGAAACGCTTCGAGACCCAACACTACAAGAAGTTAGAAAGTTCCACCTAGAAGGGTGGCCCTCGAAAATCAGTTCCACAGAGCTTCAACAGTTTTACCAACGAAGACTCTCTCTTTCAATCATCGATGACTGTCTGCTGTTTGCCGAACGTGTCATAATTCCCAAGAAGCTACAACCAGCAGTGCTTGAACAGTTGCATGCAGGACATCCTGGAATAAATCGCATGAAAGCACTAGCACGAAGTTATGTATACTGGCCGCATTTAGACACCCAACTGGAGCAGCTATCCCGTTCCTGTACCAAATGTGCATTAGCGACAAAAGCACCGCGAAAAGCAGAGCTGCAATCATGGCCAATACCACAGTTACCGTGGCAGCGTATACATTTGGACTTTGCTGGTCCACTCCATGGACAAAATTATCTTTTGGTGGTTGATGCATATAGCAAGTGGCCAGAAATTTTTCTCATGGAACACCCTACTGCAAGCTGCACAGTCAGTAAACTACGTCAACTATTCAGTCGTTTTGGAATCCCGGAATTGATAGTTAGTGACAACGGAACACAGTTTACGTCCGGAATCTTCTCACAATTTTGTCGGCAGAACGGAATCCAGCACCTGCGAACACCTCCATTCCATCCCCAATCAAATGGCCAAGTGGAACGCTTTGTGAGTACATTTAAAAATGCTCTAAAAAAATCCAAAGGGGAAGGGACCACTGAAGATATCTTAGAGAGGTTCCTGTTTATTTATCGCTCTACACCGAACCCTCAGACAATTAACGGGGTCTCTCCAGCAGAAGCTCTACTTGGCAGAAAGATACGAACACATTTCGATGCCATCCGTCCTACGCCAGCTATTGAACCCCAACGAAACCTATCGATGGAGAATCAGTTTAACCGACATCATGGGGCACAAAGACGATTGTTCACGGTGGGACAAAAAGTGCTTGCTATGGACTATCGTGGGAAACACCCTACATGGACAGCTGGTCGGATCGTGAAAAAGAAGGGGAGTGTGGTTTACGAGGTGTCAGTTGGCTCGGAAGTTTGGGTACGTCATGCTAACCAATTGAAAGCAACTTCGATAGCCAGCAACAAGATTCAATATCGATTACCTCTTGATGTTCTGCTAGACACCTTTGAAATCAAAACGCCGGGAATAGACACGTCAGTTTCTGTGCAAGAAAAGAGTGATACTTCACTATTGCCTAGACGATGGACTAATCGAAAGCACAGGCCAGTCACTCGGTTGCAGTTGGACCCTAGCACCAGATCCTACGAATCTGCTCAAAGGGGAGGTGTTAGCGGGACATAGACCGGATTAAAGCATGCTCAATGCATGATTGCTTTGGTGCACGCTGATTGGCTAATTCTTAACCAATCAGCACTAGTCGATAGTTGGAGAACACTCTAGAATCTTCTCATGTAGGATACTATAAATATACTGACGTTTTTCTCTATTGTGCTTCTGACTTCCATCTAACCTTGTTATTTGGAATATAATCTCTTCCTGTTCAACCGTGTTTTGATTTGGGGACTTGTCGAGTGAATCGGTGTCCGAGAATACTAAGCAATAGGAATAGCCGGGTCATAACCGTAAGAAAAGCGATATATAACACCAATATTATTTATTTTGCCCCATGGGTTGGTGAATCCAATATGTGCTAGTTAAGCATGGTTTAGTTCTTCGGGTTATTTCTTGCGACTGTAGATTAAGGACTGGTATTTTAGTCATAATAAGATGTTGATAAGCAACCTAAAATCGTGGATTCAGCTTAATAGCAAATCATTCAAATATTTCTAAAACTGTCCTTTAGAAATAGTTGCAGTTATTATAGTATAATCACTTATCCTTCATAGTAAAATGATTTAAAATTATCTGTTAATAGGAAAATATACGGTTTTATTACTTTAGGCTTGACCACAAAGTAAGTTTACTTCCTCGTTCAGTTCATTCATACATGGTCTTGTTATACAAATAACAATTATCTTAAAAACTGATAATCATTAGAACGATGTGATAACATATATGATTGGATTATGTATTTGAGATGTTAACCTAATCGGTATTTCTGTGGTCAGGATCATATTTTTCACTTTTTTAGTATATTGAATTTCATGCATCTGGTTATTTTCACATTTCATCTTTTTTACTAAAAATAATTTAGTGATCATGACCGGCTGGTACATGGTTTAAATGCTCTTCTGACTACGCCCCAAAATAATTTTCGAGTTTACTTGGTAAGTCAAATAAAGTCTATCTCGGTGTTTCTGTGATCTTATTACTAAGTTTTGACGTCGTTATTACAGTGTTTTAAGTTAACACATTCTTCAAAACATAAATTACGCTTTCGAAGTGTTCTCTACTTGAGTGCGACGCTTCTGTTTATAAAATATTGGAGACTAACTCTTCACTTAAAGGAAAGCTTTTGTGCTTGTAATTTTTCACTTTTTCAAAGCAGGTTATGCACCAGCTTTTTATCCTAGCTACCACTGTCTCAGTAAAATTTTCATCAAACCATCATGATGCTTTATTAATGAAACTGAAGTTCAACTGATGTTTTTCTGTCTCATTAACAAATAAAGCATCTCACATTTGTTCACGATAACGAGAATGTCTAAATCCGTCGTGTTTTACGGGCCTTAAGCAGATTTCATTATAAGCTGTACTGTCAAAAAAAACATCACGTCCTGTTTTTCCATGCGATAATTAAGGTAGGTATCAACTTTTATGTTGTTATTTACTTCTGTTTGCAAAACTCTTGCTCCATTCCTATACTACTTTTCTTAAATGCTGCCTGTCAGCAGTTTACCCAAGCACCCCTCCGTTCTAATTCGATGTCTCACTAAATGTACTGGAAACTCGTCATAACTTTAAAAGCAGACTTCCTTGTTATGGTTCTCAAGGTGTCAAAATTAGTGATTGAGAACTCTAAGCAAAACTTACTATCATATCCGTTATACGGAGGTGCGTTATTTTTGTAGCCTAATAATGTTGTTTGTTTTCTACTTTCCCTTCCTGATAGTTTAAATTTTGAAATTGATTTCATCTGTGTGCTGCAAAAAGGTGTCACAACACAGGTCAGTTCACTATCAAAGCTATCTTAAATTGTAAACTACAGTGTGTCGAATACACTACGTATTCTACCTTTTGTTTATCAGTTCTTCTTGAACATTCAACGAGATGTCTAATTACATTTGATCGTAACATGAAACATAAATATTTAGAAAGCACATTGTACCTTGTGGTTAGCTCCACGTCAGTAGTTTGATACATTATCAAATAATTTTCGGAATGAAATTTATATATGTATGTGCACGTTTACATCACTTCCTTTTTTTTCATCATTACTGTGTAAACAGGCAATCTCATTATTCGCAGTTCCATGACTGGGTAAAACCCATTTAACAAAGTTCACCGTGATTCCTCTCATAATTTAAAATACACAACCACTAAAAATAAAACACTTAATACCAGCTTAAAATGCCGGTAACATATACTGCTTGTCGAAATTGACTAATATGGTCTATTTTCACTAGCCATTTCTCATTTAATGTGTGTAGAGGCGTAAGATTTGCTGAAAGTAGTACTGGATAGAAATCGTCTGCTAACAACTTATCTGTTTGGTATCAGTTGACACCAGAACACTAACAACTTTTATATGTGAGACTTAAATTTCAAATGTTTGTTATATGTTGTTCGATAGATAAACGTCTGTGGTCTTTTAGTCCAGGTCATCATTTTCCAACAATCAAGTACCGGTCTTTTTAACCCACGTATATCATCACTTACTTGACCATTACTGTTTGTACTATTATGTGCGCTGCTGTTTTACTATTTAAAATATTATTATTATTTTCATGACATTCATATTGGTAAGTGACAGTTTTTTATTAATATTGCTGAGTCATATATATTCAGATAAGTAGATAATGCGTTCCTCATAAGTGCCGAAAGTTTCTTTTTTATTATGTAGGATAGTCATCCTATTTATTCTCACGACGTAGATAAACTAGATTATGGCTTGAATAAATTTTTTCACTTGGAAAATAATTCAATTTCTTCAAGTAAACAACAAAGTGAACTTCCTAATGGTTTTGATCATGGGAATGTTTGTAGTTGGTAGGTTTCTTCATTTCGTTTATAATGATAGGTTTATTCATGCGGTTTTTTAGCGACCGTATATATATATATATATATATATATATATATATATATATATATATATATATATATATATATATATATAATTATTTATTTTGTAGTATAAACCAATAAACCGTTAATTATTTGTTAAGTGAAACGTTTCGAATGAAGGTAATGTCTCGCCTAATTTAGTACCTGTCTGAAGAAATGGCGTTTTTGATTAATAGATTTTTCACACTGTCGTGTGAAATCAATATTAAGGTTTATTTTCACAAATTAAGTCCATTTTTGTGAAGAAAAGATCGTGTTATCTAGTTGGTTTTTTATTACAAGTTAGTTCTCTCTTCTTCAAAGACAGTAACATATTCTGTTACCTGATTATCTATCATCGCTTTTAGTTAGATAACTTTATGATGTGCCTTGCGGTCATTGCTTGTTACAGTAACAAAATCAAGTTAAATCTCTTCAAATTTGATTTTTCTACGGAATATAAAGTTATCCTAAACGTTTCGTCTTTTCCTTCTTCATTGGCATATGCATTATTAACGTTGAAACGTTTGTTGTGTGACAGACATTCATCCTATCTGGGAATCATCACCTAGACTTAAGTATCAGAGCCGATTTTCACCACTGGACTTCAACCTAGTAACGTCCATTTCAAACACCATCGCGTTATCCGCTTAGCTACTGAGTCCAGGTAGCCACTTGTGCAACTGGTATGAAATGTCATTCAATTTAAAATGGTTCTGATTGTCTTGTCATTAATTCAAGTACATCCAACTGACGAGTCGTAAATAGAACGAAATGAGCATCATGGATCCCACTGTTGACCAAATCCCGTCAATTCTGTATTAACTTATGTCGTAGTACTTATATCGAGACAATCCTCACAGGACGCATACATACCAACCAAGACTGACCAAGTCTCAGTCAAAATACCAATAACGGGATAATTCAAACCATTTCAAATTAAATCAGTTCCTTTCGTAGTTTTCTTTTTTTCATAATTTGTGTGTTATTAAGAAGAATAAATTCTGTTATACTATTGTGCTAATCATAATACGTGTATGATTGCTTTTCCTTTAATTTTGCTAGAATATTGTAGTTTCATTTTGAATTCATGTTCTGGTATTGGTATGCAATGTACCAAATATTTTTGTCTCGTGATTACTTTATGGTAGTGCTTGTAAAAAGGAAAACACAATATTGTGAAGAAATCGACCGGTGATAATGAAACAACAATAATAAAGTCTTTAATGTATCATTTGGATTAAGAGATTTAGTTTCTCCATAAGTTGTTACTCCTTACTTTTTTATCAAGGAGAGTAGTAAAGATATCTCAGGACAACTAAAAGACCACTCTATAGAGTTATCCTTGATAATATCTCAAGTAAGTTGTACGATATCTGATACCCTATTTATTGGGCTATAGCGTACAATCAGATGTTAGCTCAACAAAAATGTTTTGAAGCCATCTTGTCTGGTGTTTTGAGGTCGTTGCGTTATATTTCTCTTTCACGTGTTGATTCACGATTCAAGACTACTTCTGCTATATTTTTGATCTTTTTTCGGTGTTTTGTTGCACGGTTGCTCATATTTATTTAACTACTTATGTCTTAGTTCCGAACAATGTCAATTCGTCAATGATAGGGATCGATTGATACGTGGTACTCTACTGAAAGCATTATTGCACAAGTTTGACTGTACAAATGATGATACAAAGGCGCTCATTCCATTCAACTCAACTGATCGCCAACCTTTTTCAATGCATTGTGCATTACATGCGGATCGTAAGTAAACAATTGAATTATATGTATTAAACAAATAGAGTTCTCTGTCAGTTTTTCTTGTTGAATAATTTGAGGGAAATACTGAGTACTGTTCATCATTTTACAAAACAAGCGAGTGAAAACTAGAATATACACTTTATTGTTAAAAGGGCCATTCGGCTCTATGATTTCACCTAGTTTATGCTTATTTTAAAAATTAGCTCACCAAAACTCAATAATCAAAATATCTAACATGATCTTTATTTCTGGATTGATTTATGCTTCAGCTATTTAACGTTGTTAGCATGTTGCTCAATTAGCAATGTTTTCATTGTCTTGTAACCTTTAATTAATTTTAAACTTCGCTCATCATACAAAATTCCAGTTATTCATATTAGGCCGTATTGCAATGTTCTGTTCGCTTGTTTGATGTTTTTATTTTCATGTTGTGTTGTGTCACAGGCCATTAGTTTTTCATCATACGACATTCATATCCGCGAAAAGCTTTTCAAAATTTACCATTTTGGTGTCTTATATATTGTGTAATATTGGCTTTTCTCTCTTTCATGAACACAGAAAAATTTCATTCAACTTCATGTGATAGTTGTCATAGCATACAAAGAAATTGTACACTACCAGATGGTTGTGTTTTGCAACGTATACTTTCTGTTCAATTATTGATCACGACAGATATTGCTTTTATTTTTCCGCATTATAAACGTGTACGTACTTTTTTAACATCACATGGATGGACATGGTGAGTGACAATTAATTTTAAGTGGAAAAATATTATTTTACTCACAGACGTCGACTTATTCACGATCAATTAATGATATTATTTGGTGTATGTTCAAGTTAAACCCCTCAAATTAGGTTATATTTTGTGTATCTATGGTGTTTCTTTTTGGTATTTTGTGTACAGATTGTAAACAGCGTATCAACATTTTGGATTATATGGACAGAAACGTTTATTTAAATGTCTAAGTTTTCCGTTTCTTGTAGTATTACTAAATTTTGCTTGTCAACTTACCCAATCAAATATTTATTTAAGATTGTTTGTAAGCAATTTAATCTCTCATGGTTATATATATAACAGTTAAGAAAATCACGATACCGCTCCACTTTGTTTTTTTATTATTTTATATTGTGTCTTCTTGTAGTGTTTTAACATGGTAGGTTGGTGGTCGTATACTAAAAATTCTTTGTTTAGAATTTTCTGTATCTACATACATATCCACATGTATAAACATATTTCCATTAAGTTCGTAAGGTTTTCAGAAAAATCAATGGTTGATTATTTTTATCCCATATCAACTTTTGATATCCATAAAATAGAGTGTAGAATGAAGAATTCACTAACAGTAATGCCATTTGTCAATATTCTCCCCTTTCTATGCTGTTGTAAGTTTTCAATGGATTGCACAACATTTATTTCCACTTTTGTAATCTTACCTGTTTTATAACAATATTGTTTCGTCTGTCTATGCGTGAGACCTGATAGGTATACCTACAGCTACTATCACGTGCTACTTAAAATTAATGATTTACAAATTACATTATAAGTTGTTCATTTAAGGATTGTTAAAAAGGTATAATCATAGTGTCACATTACTATCTCTGTACATCTTTCTAGTTTGCTTGTTATGAAAGCTTCTTAAGTGTTTTTGTTTTCAAGCTAGATCTTAACTGTAGGAACTATTTAATTCTTGAGATTTTGTCACTATTCATTCTATCAACAGTATACGGTTTTATTCTCTTCCTGTATGTCATTTGATTTTTTTTCATCATATGTTTTGTTATTGACCATTAAATCCCAGACATTATCCTCTACGTCACTTCAAGTGCATATCTAACTATAAATGGAATGTCAATCGTGGCGAACTTTATCCGCGAATATCTTGTGAAAGATAAATACACAATTATTCTGCTACCTAGACGTGTCTTTTTATCCGAACATAAATCGACTTTAGTTAAATGGAATAAAAATCAAATAAGAACTAGTAGTAGGCTCAATTCTTTCTGTGACTTTAACAGATTTAATGTTAGTCAACGCATTTGCTTTCTGTCTTAACTCAACAGTAAACAATTGATCGAACTATATTTCAACTCTTATTTGTAACATCTGTCTGCTACAAACTATGAGCCTTGCTTCATAATGCAGATGTAATCAAATGTCTATTTTAATCTCTGACATACTTTGGTTGGTTCTATGTGAAAACATTTTAGATTTTAGACATGATTCTCGACATCATTAACGCTTTCGAATAGTGGATAGCGTTCACCTCGTAATTTATATACGTCAGAACGTATGTGTAGTAAACATACTTTATCCACTTTAATCCTATACAGACTTTTGTTATGTGCTTTTGTCCCTTCTCAAAGTGGGACATCTGTTTGTCTTCGTTTGTTATATATTGTTTGCAACTTCGAACACAATATTGTTTCTCTTATTAAAATATTGTTTTCTTTGGTCAAAATAACGCTTTTCAGGGAGATGTGGCTTAAACTAGCACAGAAAGGTGAAGTGTCAAAATATTTGGACACACAAGAAATCGCTGAAAGTTTTGACATAGTAAGCTTATTTTCTTTTTGTTCTCTCTAAATTATGGTAATTGGAACTTCTGTTATATAATCGAAGGTCTTTTCTAAAAAATGGTGGCTTTTCGTCTGTCATACGATACACTTCTCTCACCACTATGTCGCGATTATATGGAATCACAAGGGAACCCCCCATTTAATTTTACATGAGCTTATAGGTAGAAATAATTTCTCTCAAACCTTCGAACACTCTTCACATTGCCTGTTGAAATTTCTACAATTGCAACCTATTCATTTCAAGTACCAATGCTCTTCCTTACACAAGTCCTTCGTGGATTGGGATTCGATGAGTAAACGAGGTCTATAATTGCTGAAATGAGTGAGTAAAATGTGGAGTTATAGGTAATCGTGAGACTTAATTATTGACACAAGCCCTCGAATGAACCGATTTCAAATAAAAAAAACCACCACCCAAAAGATTAAATTTTTAATCTAATAAGGTAACATGCTTATCTACAAATTATTGTCAGAAAAATATGCATGAATCGATGACAAAAGTGATTAGAGTTAATCAGTTTTGTACGTTACCTTCCAGTGATTTAAGGCCTGACTGTCAGGGTTAGTTCTAGTTCATCATATTATCGCCCACTTCATTTTGGAATTCAACCTAAATGGTCAGTTCGCTAATGTATTGCGACAGACTTTTCAAATACATTTTATCGTGATTTTATATGCAGTGAAACAATTTAATTACCATAAGAACCATCTCTTATTTAATATTCCTTTGATTTTTGTAGGTTGAAAAATATTTGATCGCCTTGATTGCTCGGGATTGCTCAGTTATGATAACTGTGCAACGTGCAAAACCTGAGTAAGGATTTCGCTTATTTTTCATATCACTTTAAATATAGAAGGTCTGTGTATCTAATTCGTACATCATTTTATCTATTTCCTTAAATACGTTTCCTATAAGTACCAAATACTGGTACATCTGTTTCATTTCCATACAAAATCTTACGAAGTTATTGAGGCCACTTTTATTTATAACTAAAAAGTGAATGATACTTTCGTATAACAATATAAACCCTAATACAAAGTCAGTACTCCTGTTCGTCACTAGTGTGCGAAAAAAGTCAGTGGATTAATCTTTGTTATTTGTGTTCTAAGTGAATTCAACAAGCATCTAGTCTAACCGTAAATGTACTATTTTGTGTTCATTAAGAGTTATCTAATCTGTAAGCTAACGTCCCACCAAACATGGAGTACTGAAAGATTGTGATAGTAATACTGATATTTTTATGTTTTGAAGTATTTTACACTTAGGTCTATTACAATTTCATTTTATTGTTATCTCCCCTCTTTTCAAAGCTGTCCACTACCATCGTCTGTTATTTCGGGCACATGTTGTTGTATTCCCAGAATGTTAATTAGTTGTGCCATTATAGATCTAGATCCGAAACCCTTGGATAAACTACGTGATCGACTAGATTTGGAGACAGCAGTTGCAATGGAAGCGATCAATCGACAGTTTAAATTGCTTTTACCGAAAAGTCTTTCATAATATATATGCTCAGATTCTTGTATTTTCTGTATTGGTTTTCAGCATTTGTTTTGCCTTGACTTTTAAATACTCCCTTTTTTGGACACATATATACCTACCCCTTAGTTTGGATATCCATATTGTGACTAAAATTTTCTCTTCTCATATAAAAAAGTACTGTGTTGGATGATCTTTAGTGATAAAAGAACATATAGGGAGTAATTCAAATACCTCCTTTTTGTAGGTTTGTACTCGCGTGCCTATTTTGTATGCATGATATAAATCATAACAAATGTAATTTATTAGAACTGTTATGTCTCTTTTGAAATCAACTGGATATTTCAGTTGATCCGAGTACTACAGTGTGCTTCCAAATTATAATGTAAGATTTTTCGTTATTATTATTGGTTTGTTTGTGCTCTCGTTTTAATGTCTAGATACGAAGGCAAAGTTTCAAAGTTATTTTCTTGGTTCCCGACCTAACACTCACAGACTTTTTGTTCTTGCTACATTTTTCCCCTTGACAAAACCAACTAGCCCTGTAGAATTTCGCAACATTTTGTTATCTGTACAGTGTAAAATAAAGAAGTATTGTCATCTTGTCAATAAACTTCACAAGTCAACTAAAATGTCGTTTTCCTTGGCCACATAAATAAGCATAGATGTGAATTAACATAAGAGATGTCGTTTCGCTAGCACAACATATAAGGGACTTATTTCCGTACGAATCAAGAGTCATACTGTCTATTGAGATGTCGGATAGCGTTATAAATGTAAATACGACCCTAAAAGTTTATCAAAAACACCACTGGTTTATAAAAAAGCGATAACAAAGATTCGAGTATGACAGCATGAATTCATTTTATTTTGTTCGGTCCTCGTCAATGCTCACAACCTATAGTGCTCAAAAATCGAAACCACAAAATGATTTTAAGTTATTCACATAAATGTGTTCATTTGTAAGCTATTTTGATTATGTAACCGTATTTAGGATGTTAAACAAAGTATTGCAAATATATTTGTTACATCGAAGGATATTCTACAATAGATAATAGTTAGATGCTAAAGAGCTAGAAATAAGTGTTTATGTGGTGAACAAACGGTAACAAAAAGTAAGAATGAAGTGAGTAAAGCCTAGTTAACTAGAATAAGAAAACTGAACAAAAAGGGAGTCCGGAAAAAGTACAATCAGAAGGAATCTTTCAGGTAAGGGAGATAAAACCACATTTTACGAAGAAAGTAAATGGTTACAGCAGGATCGCCACTGGCTTCTATTCTGAGCCATATCTGATAACGTCTCTAGCCACTGTGTTTCATTATCTCTCAGACCCCAACCAGGGAGTCATGAAGGACCAACAGAAGCCAGTCCTTTGCAGCTTTCTTTCATGCCACGACACCATGTCATGCACCGACCACCTCTCCGCTTCTTCCAACCAGTCCCAGAGTCGGCAAATGATGCACGACCTGGAATTCTCTGGGACGACATTCGTAGAACATGTCCAAGCCACCGAAGTCGATGTTTCAAGATAGTGACACCAGTTGAATTATCATCTCTGTGCCCGAACACACGATGCTGAACCTCTGCATTACTGACATGGTGTTGCCACTGGATGTTAGCAACCCTTCGCAGACAACGATGATCAAACACAGAGAGTCGTCAAACATCCTCAACTCGGAGAGGCCAGGTTTCACAAGCATAGAGCAGAACTGCTCTCACCGACGCGTTGTAGATCCAACCTTTTACAAACAGACTAAAATCACGAAGGCGCCAAACATGGTCCAGATTGGCATAAGCCGCTCTAGCTTTCACTATACGTGTATTGATCTCATCGCTCACGCCACAACCAGCACTTATGCAGCTACCTAGATACACGAACTTCTCGACTACTTCTATCTGCTCACCATCCAGGGTGAGTACAGGATTAGAATCCTGCCAGTCTTGTAGAAGTACTTTGCACTTCGGAGGTGCAAAGCACATACCATACCTACGGACACTGATTGCCAACTGATTAAGTGCGGATTGCATGGCTTGGGCATTATCCCACAGTAAGAAAATATCATCCGTATACTCAAGGTCGAGAAGTCTTTCTTCAGGCAACAGATCCACACCACCATTACTTACATTCATCAGAGCTGTTTCCAGAATGTCATCGATGGCAAAGTTGAAGGGGAATGGTGAAAATAGGCAACCCTGCCTAACCCCACTGCTCGAATGGAACAATGGAGAGAGGTGGTTGTATGCCCTTACTCTGCCTGAGGTGTTTGTATGTAGGGCTTTTAGGATGTTTATAAACTTCTCAGGCACACCCTTCTTCAATAAATAATCCCAGAGAACAGTCCTGTCCAACGAATCGAAGGCACCCTGATGTCAAGAAACACTACGATTGTTGGCCTGTGATAAGTATGGCGATGTTCTAACACTTGGCGGAGGGTGAAGATGTGATCAATACATCCTCGACCAGAACGAAACCCAGCCTGCTCCTCACGAGTCAATCTTTCTCGGGTTTTGAACAACCTACGAAGAATGACGGAAGCCAGTAGCTTGGACGCAATCGGAAGTAGACTTATCCCCCGATAGTTGCTACAGGAACGACGTGAAACTTTTTTAAAGATAGGGACAACTATCGACTCATTCCATGAAGTTGGTGCGCTCTCTAGCTCCCAGACCTTTGTAAACAGCGTCATCAGTTCCTTAGTCAGCATGTCACCACCATCTTTAAAATGAGCCGGGAGTAAGTCATCTGGGCCCGGCGATTTGTAGCGCTTCAAGAGTTGGAGTTCCCTGCAAGATTCCGCTTCATTTGGTGGATCAGTCGTCACCGACCATGGAGGGCAGGACAGTCTGACCGATGTTGCCGAAGAAGCAGGCCAGTTGAACTGCCCTTAGAAGACTTATACCCATCGTCCAAGACGTTGATGGATGTTAGTGATTGACATCCCGTCATTCTCACAGATTGTTTGCCCATACCAGACTTCTTGCTGCCAGTGTCTCGGATGATTTGGAAGAGCTTCCAGTAATTACCAGATGCAGAAATTGCAACCAACTTGCTGACATCAATCCGCTGGTGATGATGACTTCGTTGGCCACTGAAAAGTAAGGTAAAATTGGTGCAGACCAGGGCATGATCAGAGTCCAGATAAGTACTCTAAAAGGAGCGGCAGTCTTGTACACAACCACGCCAGCGGTAGCTAATCGCGATGTGATCAATCTGAGTCCAGGCTCGAGATGAAGAGGGAGGATGCTAGGTGGCACATCGGCGATGACTGTGCCGGAAGTTAGTGATAGCCAGAAACAGGCTATGGTCTGTGTAAAGTTGCAATAGACGGTCCCCGTTATCTGTCCTGCAACCAACGAGTCCCCATCGGCCGCCTAAACGACTCTTTTCTGTGTCTAGACACCCGACCTGAGCATTCAAGTCTCCGGCTAGTACTACAATATCTGTCGGACGTACTTTCTGGAGAAGCACAGTTAACTGGTGGTAAAACTTATCCTTAATTGCATCCGGGCTGCAATCGGTTGGGACATAGGCGGAGATGACGAAAAGACATTGTTTCTCACGCCGATTTCTTCTCACTTTGATGGAACTCTCTAATCTAGCAGCACATAACCGACTGTTAATGGGGATCCAATCGACTGGTGCTGCCTCAGCTCTAGCGCTTAGTGCGACACCAACGCCAGCAAGACCAGACGAAGATACCAAAGGGTCCCCGGATAAGCGCACGTAAAACAAGCTTTTTGAAGTGACAGATGGAGATCGAATTTGTAGTACTTCACCAGAGTCTTGAATACGGGTCTCGGGTAGACAGCAAACATCAATATTAAGACTTTTCAAAAACATAGTCACCCCTATCTGTTGTCTGACCTGCATAAGTGTTCGAACGTTGAAGGCAGCCAGTTTGAATGGTGCACGTGGTTTCAGGAAAACTGCTTCAGTATTCGTGTTCGGTGGTAGCATACAATTTTCAACTAGACAGTGACTCGAGAACGTTCAGATAGAACCGAATTTCTTCCATAAGCGAGCTGCTGTATAAATCGAAAAGTGAGGATAGACAGAGTTGGAATAAAAGAGAGTGAATAAATGACGAAGTAAGTAATAACAATAATAACAATAGTAGTAATATAATTAATAATGTGAATCTTTGACTGTAAATCGATGCGAGAAAAGTATTTTCCATAATTATCGATCGTTCATCATATTTGTGTGTGGGCTGTGATACTGAGCGGGTGCCCAGACTGAAGCGGGTGGTTCTCTTAAGGGGCCACACCCCGGGTCTGACCGACAAGGCAGTGTGGCATCGTGAGGAGATGCAGTCCCATGGTAGCCGGTGACCAACGATTGGTTCATACGCCATCCGTTCCTTCAGGATACTGGAGCCCATGTGCACCATTGGTTTGGGATCCGGTTAAAGCGCCGGACATTCGCTTTTCGTCCTCTCATTTTCGTAAACAACACACCCGCCACGAGAAGGCAGTGAGTAGGACTTCCCTGGCAGAGGCTGTATACTCGTGGCCGTGTGAGAGCATTTCGAGAGGGAGGGCAGACCCACCCCACTCTCGGCCATACCAGGGCATTTGGGGGCACTGTGAACTAGGAATTTAGTCTCATTTGCATTGTTCAACTAGGTTTGGAGTCAAGTTGAGTTTCTCACCCACTTGGTTTTCTGAGATCTTAGTAAAGTCTAACCTAATTTGGTCTTCTAAATTGTAAACCAGATGACGGGACCAGCAACTTCATTTGCTAATGGAATGCTTCCAAACAAGACACTTTTATTGGTTTCTGTCGATACGACGAAAGTAAGTTGAAAGCATTTTATGGCCTACGAAATGGCGTGATAATGATTGTTAATTTAGAAATTTAACGCTTTAAAGTGGGAAGAAGGAACGTAAAGTTCAAGTACGAACATCTAATCATAAGCCGTAAACTACCTTGGTGTTTATGCAAGACATCTATGTCTTTTGTACGTCTTCAACATAAGATTGAACATGTAAAGTCTATGTGCACCACCACATATTTCGTGTT